ATGCCACAATATTGACCAATCACCTGACAATTTGATATCTATACTAGTATGACGTAATAGTTACAAAAGTCAATATAATTTGTTATTAGTTTGTATTTCTAGATAAGGCATATATTGTAACGTCGAGTTATGTTATCTTTTTCGTATCGATTTCATTTCATTTGTTTACCCAAATGCTATGATTGATCACATGGAAGTCAAATTTAATGATATTATGCAAATTCTGTTCATATACAGTGAATACGTAATGTTCTGTAACGTGACTGAATTCATACCTGCTATTTAATATATAGTAACATTAGCGTTACTGTAAATATATGCTATTTATTGTTTGTCTCCTGAACAGCGCAGTATCTTATACTGTAATATGACGTCACATGATATACGTGTTGGTTAGTGACATATATGACATGCCATATATAAGACCATTGTTAGTGACACATAAATGGTGATATACAAGCGTGACCCAGTGATAGTGACATGGCCACTGTGGTACCTATTGTGACATGTCTATTATGATGCGTGTGTTACTGACACATACAAGGTGACAATTCATGTTCAGTGTGAACCGTAAGACAGTGACACGTAGATATAGTGATATGCCTACTGTGACGCCTGTGTAAGCGACCCCCCCCCCACACACACATACATACATACACACGCATGGCGACATGTCTGTTGTGACACCCATGTTACTGACACACACATGGTTATATGGCTGTGTTGTCACATATATGGCGATATGTGCATTGCGACTCTGCACTTGTGTCACATACGTGGTGTAATGTCTACTGTGCCTACCTGTGTTAGTTACACACACATAGTGGCATGCCTACTGTGACGTCACTGTTGGTGGCACTCCTAGTTATATACACATGGTGACAGATATATCTTATAAGTACCATACATAGTGACCTTTTTTTTGTGACACCAAGACATGCCTACTGTGACGCCTATGTTACGGTATATATGGTTGGTGACAGACAGACATACTGTGTTTAGGTCATAAATGGCACCTAGACGCGGTGACATGCCTAGTATAGGATACCAGTGTTATGAATTGACATAACGATAGTAGATGTTCACAGGCAGTTATGTCATTTTAGTTAAAATGAGATCAAGAAGCGTTGTAGTTCATACTGAGTTTGGTAATGTGCATTCATTCTCGTATGTATAAAACATAAATGAACCGGATCGCATGACATAATTCAGTGGTCGTTATTATTTTAAAGTCACGTGCGTTGTTTGCTTTACTAATGAAACGGAATATTTATATATCTTATATTTTAACTCATCGGGAAAATCTAAGCTTTCCTTCTAACTGTGATAACTAAATGACGTGTCGTGAGATGACATGCATATATAGGACTTGCCTTGTGACTTGATTCTTCTACTGTATATCACGCACACCATCAGAAGTTTCCAAATCGAAGACATTTCTGTAATAATACGGTACTAAAACGCAACTTCGAAACGCACACTGGTTCTAGGTCTCTCTACTATGTTGGGGACGCGCGAATTGCGTAATGCGTGAGAGAAATCCAATCACGCGTTAGTAGACACGGGGATGAAATATGGACGATCATAAACACCCGCGTGTAGCTGCAAAGTTCACGCACCCCCGTCAAATAGTGTTTCAGTCCAAGCGCTCGTATTAATCTAATATCAAACCATACTTCGTGTAAGTAAATTGGAAATTTGTGATCCAGATATTGCTGCAAATTAGTTGATCCACGGAATGGAGACAACGCAATTTGCTTGAGGCAAATCACAACAACATGCGAGGAAAGATCTATAATTATGTGTACACCGCGACGGGATAATGTAATAGAGGCATCAATTACTCTGTGTAACCCGAGTTGTTTTCCCTTAATGTACCATTCACAGTGAAAAATAATGATTTATATTTTTCTTATGCCAGTTATTTAGATATCAAAATAATAAGCGAATAACATCCGGGGAATATGTAACTCGTTCAACGGAGTTCGGCGCGAGTAACTTCCTTGTGTGCTACGTAGTTATAGTTTAAATAGTTGTGTGAATATATTTTTTCTCAATATGGATTACGCCCGACATCCATCCCTAGGTACACCTGACATTTTCCCCCTTAACGGTTTTTTCCTTGGCGGTCGATGTATTAGCGATGGGGATTTACAATCTATTATTTTGTGTATATTTACATATGTAAGGGGGATACCTGTAATAAACGCGTGTGGCTCCTTGGTTCTGAAACGACCGCATACCGCATTTCATGCTTGTTGTGTAATTTGTATGAATAATTTAGGTTGGGTATAGATTCGTGCATATATGATGGCAAGTACGTTACACATATTCAATATTGTTATGCAATTCATCATTCTAACGCAATTCATCATTCAAACACTAGTTTTGTTCTGTTTTCAATTGTTATTACAAGTGCAAACTTACCTCTTAAGTCCATTCTATATGTATCGATTACTGTGGTGATACCAATCAGTCGTCTTTATGCATTCCACAAACACACACACGCCTCACGCTATTACCCTTATATCACTTTCCACATCCAGACCTTATCGCGTCCTGCAATGCTGTATGTGTTGAGACGAATATAAGATACTCACTATCACACAGAGGTAGAAAGACGCAATAGTTCATGGTTTAGATTTCACTCACGTAATAATACTAATTAGAGCAGTTTGAGCCGATGAAACATTGCAGTAATATATAATTATTTCATCATAGTATAATGGACACGATAATAATTTACATAGATTACAAAATCTCTTCTTCCTGTCAATTCATTGTTATCTACTGGTGTCTATTTCCCAGAGGATAACAAAAACTTCTGAATCTAGCAATTGCCCTTCGTGTTTTAAATATGATCTATACATGAAAAATACAATTCCAGGTTGAGGAAAGTTTTATAATTTCTATAATATGTATTGTCCTTATGAGTGGAAAATTTAAGATAAGCAATAGAGTGGGAGAAATCTCCTCCATTGGAAACTCACTAAATTAGAGGTAACATTCGTGAAATCTTCCAGCTATATTAGGTTTCATATCAAAAATAACATGCGTCTTTTTCATTTCAAGTTACCGAGTTAATTTTGAGATACGAAGAAATAATTTCACCACTGCCAAAATGCAAGTTTTTAATATTTTCCATGACATTTTAGACTGCATGTTCCCAATTATGTTTTTCAGTTTCGGTATGCTAATACAAATGAAAGCATAAAGACGGTGACAAATAATCTTCCATTCGGCTAGAACGTTCATAATATGAATCCCGACTGCAGAGAAGGTCAAATTATAATAAGATAGATGTTTCGTGAAAACGGTGAGTGATTGTCTTGTATGGTATCATCCATCTTCCATGGCGAGTCAATATACACTCACTGTATCCTCATTAGGAAACAATTGTACATTTATTTGGTTCAACATATCTACATTCTCGACGATATTAATGCATAGTGTGTCAATACAAAGGACGGCATGGGAGGGGATTGCTGTACTTCCTTGTAATAAAATCGTCCATACTTGGAGGTCCGTTGTTGACGATGAAATGGGAAATCACGCAAGACGCTGTAATAATTCGTCGCGTTTAAGAAATTACTGAACAGTTACTTAAACCTAGATACGTACGTGATCAGCTGTTTCGTTGTACGCACGCACTGTCCGATGAGTACATTTGTGAAAATAAGATCGGCGCTTTGAGTTATGGGTGTTACACTGATATACCTAGAGGGATAGTTTGCGGTGGATTGGTAAGTTTGGGCTGAAATAATATCCTAAACATGAATGATTACGCAAATTTGTGACTGAAAGAAAGTAGTAAACCAAATAGCTGCTAAGATCTCGTCGTCTCCCTTCAAATAAGCGTTCAATTTTCGAATTTCATAGTGTCCAAATTAACATGATAACCAGGTCAGGACAGTGGACGCGCACACGGTAGAAAATGGAACACTATTAGAAGGTAAAAACAAATCTCGCGGTTCTCTCGCTCTCGACGAGATCTCGGCGGCCATTTACAAATAATTTCTACAGTACTTTTTCTCTTTAGTTTGATACAGTTTCAACAAAGACTTGGCAGCAATATAATGTCGGGCTATCTAATATTCATCTCTTGGGGAAGAGCTGTGTTAGAAATGACTTGCGACAAACATACACAGTCTGGTCGTAGTATAGACAACAGAGTGACTGTGCATAACCCTTAGAAAACAGGAACATGCAAATGTGAGTATTCTTTTCATGTAACCTTAGCTAATTTTGTGGTTAGAGCAAAATCAGAAACATTTCATATTATTAAAACTGAATAGGCCTAACTAAAAATTGCATGCAAGGAGGAAGTTTTTGTTTCACTGTGGGTACATGGAAAGAAAACAAATTGGACATTTTTTCCTACAAGGCAACAAAACTGTCTAAAGGTGAACAATGGCCTGTCGAAATTTGTATCGTTATAACAAGTGTATCTATAAGACCGATATAGCCTTAGCCTCCCGTTATTCTGGGATAGATATGAATAGTGGCACAGCATAAATAATCAAACATGTAAAAAGGAAAAAACTGTTAAATCTACATGTTATATGCATAAATATGATTAACTATACTATACCCATGTCGCACACAGGGAGTAGGATTTTCTTTTGTCCCAGACAGTCAGTGGTACCTTTTTCTAGGTGGTCGTAGGTGGCGCTTTTCACAATAGCATTTCACCCTGATGAGTTCTGTCGTAGTGATGGCCAGCGATGACATTGCACTCAAATATAAAACATACCTGAATCTTAATTCCGATGCATTGGGCGTTACTGCTTTATATGGTGTCGTATTAATATAATAGTAATATAAGAAAATGTCCTGCCCTCTACGGTCACACGTAATACATCCACACATATTCAGACAAGAGATGAACAGGAATATATTTTTGTGTGATAAATGTTATATATCTATTCCAATTTCATGGTGACATGTTTGTTTGTTTTTTCTCAAAATTCCAAATGTCGGAAAATACGAAACTACTAATATAAGTAAAAACAGCCTGGCATATATACATTTTTTATTGAAAAAATATAAATGTAGCACTATAAATAAAGTATCGCTGATGTAATAGCGTAATTTAAAAAAAATGACGATGCCCTTGAATGAAATGTGCATGACAATCTAGTTCAATAGAAAGGAAGGCAGTAGTTCACTGGGAATATGGCTCGAACGCCCATGGCGCTTTCTTAAATTCATCCTCGTCTAGTACACCATCACCTGCAAGAAAACACACTTAGGAGTAAAAATTAAAAATATCACTTAAAAAACGCTCTCTCGGAAGATTCGCGGTAGATTTTTATAAAAGCCAAACAAGTTAGTCTTTTAAAGATGAATGAGTTGCAGACGACAATTTGATTAATAGTGGAATAAAACATTTGGTTACAATGACAGATTCTCTTTAACGACCATGGCACATTCCGTTTGGCAGAATATAACGCGTTTTTGTTTATTCCGTATTTATGTTTAAAACATGTTATTTGCATATCTAAAGGAAATCAACTAGGAACGCTAAGGAGTAATCGGGAGCATTAATGAACCATCATGTGCCCTGTACCTCGCATATGTTGAAGAGTTGCAATAACTGTAAGACGCAACGTAAAAAGTGGCACGTCACGTATGAATGACGTTACGTGACCGAAACGTAACTGGACAAATATCATAATTACAGAATTAGACTCACCATTAAGATCCGCATCGTCAAAAGGTTTTTGAGCATCCTCTTCTTTGGTTTCCGTTGCTAAGGCTAACTCTGTCAAATTTACATGTCCATTGCTATCTATATCGTACGTTTCGAAGGTGGTTGGAAGATTAATCGCTTCGAAATGACCCACTTCAGCAACATCTGGGATATGACCCTCGAATGGATAAGGAGGTTCGAAATCGTCATAAATTACATCATTTCCAGTCTTCGGGACTTCCGATATGTCTGGTTCTCTTTTGAGTATGGGGTCTTTTTCCTCGTCTTCGCTGATAACAACAACGATGAAGCAAATACCAAGTAATACAACACTACCCCACCTGGACATGTTGACCTAAAATCAAAAAAAACAAATAAATTGAAATAATTAATTTTCGCTGAAGGAATGATTCAAGTGCAAATAAATTCCAGCAAATATACCATTTTTCCTATATTTTACATTCAACTCGTCAAAAATCAGTGAAAATAAATTCCATACAAAACACACCAAAAGTATTTTACGGTATACTGTAAAAAAAATGGTTGCGGCTAGCTTGAGAAAAATACATTGTGCGGGACACACAGTGAAACTATCTTTTGAACAATACATCAACAAAGTTTTACGGAATTGGTGATCAACATGTGCTGAGCACTTGACATTCGGTGAGCAAAACACTAGTCAGTATTAGGGCAAATATGCATTCAATACAAAAGCTATTGACTAGACCGCTATACACAATAATACTTCTGGAGATTAGTTTTATCAGCTTGTAAATGAACTGCAAGGTTTCTGTAAACAGACGAGTGATTAACAGCATCATTAGCATAGCCACAAATGAATTGGGCCTTTAAATGTTTACCATAAATAGCGCCCTCTGTCGAAGAAAACTTGCGTAGTGAAAACACGGTAACCTCTTTATAATGAACCCTTTATGACGATTTCCCTGATATAATTAAACAAGCAACCTGTCGGCTGATATAGCTCCGCTTTTTGTAATGGATGCTCTGAAAGCAATGACTATGAAGCAATTTAAAGTTAATGCTAGCTGCTTTAATATGGCAAGACACCAACTTTCTTGATTTTGTTACAGAGAATATTTCACTAAAAGTAGAGAATTGAAGATATCTTTACAAATAAAGTTATGAAGCAATCAGGTTAGACGTTTTCAAGAAATAGTTGAAAATAACATTTTTTACCAAAAATGACAAAAATATTCACTAAAATTAGAGAATTGAAGAAATCGTCATGAAATTAACAAATCTGACAGAGATCTATCCAAGGTACCTACAAATAAATTTACAAAGCAATCAGGTTAGAGGTTTTTAACAAGAAGTTGAAAATAACATTTTTACGAAAAATGACACAAATATTCACTAAAATTAAAGATATCGTCATGAAATTACCAAATCTGACCCAAAGTACCTACAAATAAAGTTACAAAGCAATCGGATTAGCAGTTTTCAAGAAGAAGTTGGAAATAACGAATTGAAAATGTCGTCACAAAATCAATAAATCTGAGAGAGGTCCACCCAAGGTACCTACATACCAAGTATCAAAGCATTTGGGCTAGCGGTTTTCAAGAAGAAGTCGAAAATGGCCTTTTTGACCAAAAATGACAAAAATATTCGCTATAAATAAGACAATTGAACATATCCACACGAAATGAACAAATCTGAGAGAGAACCACCCAAGGTACCTTTCTAGAAAGTTTCATAGCTATACAGTTTGTGGTTTTTAAGAAGAAGTCGAAAATGTAAAGTTGACGATGGCGACGACGACGGACAATCAGTAATATTATAAGCTCCGCTCGACCTTGCCGACGTCGGGCGGCGTCGCTAGTTGGCGTGCTGTCAGAGTATCAATCACACTATGTTCTAAAAGGCTTGTAATATGATATTTCAGATAAAGTATATATCTTTAATGGGAAGCTCGTCTTGAAATACGTGTATCAGTATTCTATGTATATCTTTTTAAATTTCATTAGATTGCCCAGGACATATCACGGAATGTAAAATTACTTGAGAAACGAGATCAAAACTGGCATTGAACTAATGATATCACAGAATAAAATACAGCAACGCCAGTATATATTTGTAATTAATTTCCATCAAAGCATTACAGTCGTGACGCAGCGCGTTTCATAAATTTCGGGTAAACAATGTGTTTTACAACACCTCAAACACACGACGCGTCGCGACGACTGTGACAGTGTCTCAGTATTTCGTATTCATTTTATTGGAAACAAATATATCTATTAAAAGTATATTTCCAATCAACGCGAAAAGTGTATTGTGAGTAACACAAGTAAGTTATTTTGTATAAAACACACTATATTCCATGAAAAGACAACCACTGTGAAATACGGCATGTAACAGTTTAATATTAACACACATTGCCATGTGACACTATTCATTAAGATCACCATTAGTCAGTCACACATTGTATAACTTGTGTTCATAGCATGAATGTTTCTTCTTATCGCTGGGTTAATAGATACTGACGTGTACTGGACCCCGTGGTGATTGATTCAATACAGGTACTGGATAGAAAAGCGACGTCATGGGACGTACGTTCGGTCATATCCAATCACAGCCCGCTCTGCCTGTAGTCGCATCAATGTTGATATCGAAAGTTTGGATTTGGATTCGGAATATGAGTAGAATTTAAGAATTGAACTTGCGACAAGTGCGAGAAATAAAAGTGTACGTGAAAGTAACCACAAAAAGACAGGGACTGGTGTGTAGCCTGGGTTTATGTAATCTGATGCCACTGCAATGCACAGTGTACTGGTACTGGCACAGTAACTTTGTACGGAACTGAAAATGCGACTCTTTCGTTTTGAAATTGCAGGTTATATATAAAAATTGAAAATTCTCTTTTTCAAGAATTTGTTTGACGAAGCGTTCGTTTCATCGCCCACTAATAACATGGCACGCGAGATGTGATTTGGACCGCCATTAGTCTTCAAGTTACCACGGCACGACTGACATCTTGATGACGTAATTTACGACTATTGAACAGTACATTATGTTTATACGGGATTCATACCAAAATCATCTTTTTGAGAAGACAACCTAAACGATCCACAAGACGCCATGATTAATACGTGTCCTCTGTTGCACTTCCACGCATGGCAATTTCAACGAATACACCCTACGTTAATGTCGCACCTGTGCCCACAGTTGTGTATTCTTTTCAGTTGCCGCGAGGTCGTTGATTGTTGTTTTGATGGCGAATTGTTCCGTTAATCGTTGGCGCCACAGTGAAGAAGGGTGCTTGATGACACCTGGCTATATCACTTGAAAGCACGTTATTATCCACTGCATAAAAATTATGCTTGTCAATTTCAGCACTACTATAAGGACGCTATTCTCCGGCGGGCAAACAACTTCTATGAGTAACCCAGCGGGGATCTAATAGACACGCCCACTGTTGGGAGGGATGCGAGTGCACTAATTGGCCCATATAAACATATAATTAAATAAATCCTCAAATCTACTCAGGCTGGTGCACTATATCGAAGTGACTGTTATGTAAGGGACATAACGCCGTTTTGAAGTTCACGAGTACTGTGAATTACCAGTACAGGGATGTGTAGATATTTGATGATGAGATAGGATGAACAGTTTCGACCATTCCATGATATTTATTTATGCTCCGTATAACTGTAACTTACATCTTGTTCACCTCATTATTTGTCAAATAATTACCGGGAAGCCATCTCAGTTTATCCCCCTCAAGATGTCTCAAAACGAACCCTCAACACACACACACAGAACAATTACTGCCAAATTACTAGTAGTTTATTGTTTGTATTGAGGATGAATCAGAAAAAGTACTTGTATTTGTTATAACTTTCATAAAACACTAAATACAATCGTATACGTAAAAATCCGTCTGCCATGGCGTTTCAGGTTATCGTCAGGTATATTTATTTGTTGTTGAAGATCTCAAGTCAGTGAAAGTACTATTATATTGTTTTATATACATCACTGGACACATCAAAATAACTCCGCTGATATATACCTACGGGCAACGGATAATAATACATAACCCTGGACCGTGCAACATTCATGTATGCCCTCCTGAACTCGCCTTTGTAGTACATGTGGCGCGGTAGCTCACCCCAATGACTTCAGTCTGATATTTTCAGTGGAAGGATTATTACACGGGGATTTTAATCCGGTAGACTGCATCCGCCAATATTGTGGAATGGAGTGAAGACCGCCCGGGAAAAAAATTCACGATACAGATTCGTTGTGGTTTTCAAAAACAAAACGAAACAAACAAACAAAATGATTAGAGTCGCCATGAACATATTTATATCCGCTTCCTCGTTTCGCTCTTTACATAGTTTAGGCTACCTCGTCTTTCACTACAGCGTTATATATAAATGTCCCGATGCCAATGACTGTTTGGAAAAAAACACAGAGGAATTCCAAATAATAAAGCTCTGATGTCAATACCGGGGACGGGGAACGGGTAAACAATTGTCACCGGAGTTTGACACGAAAGACAGTACAGTTTACAATGCCCGAGTATTCATACGCACTCGAAACGACTGATGTGCCTACATTGAGTACCGGTACGTGATTTGAGTTTAAATTCGTGATTAGTGGAAGTGAAAGCTGTGACAGAATACATGCGTGAACTGTGGATAACTGTTTGAGTGGCAAGGGCGGATTCAAAGCGTTTCAAACAGTGAACATAACCATGTCTGGCTAAATGATTATCTTTATTGAGCAGCGCTGATGGGTCGGAACTAACATGATTAAGAATGAGCTTTACTAGTAGTTTGCCTTCGTGCGTGACTGTTGGACAAATACTTAAATTATGACATAATGTCTGTATTCATTGCTATTTGATTCAGCCCTAAACCGACCTGTCGAGAAATTATCGAGAGGTCTGCACTATAATAATTACTTTCTTGCGTCCCCATTATTTGTCACGAGTTCATGGAGTTTTCTGTCTTCGGCATTTCCTCTATAACCATAATTATGGTTTGTAAGAACAAAACACCCAGTGAGTATTGTATTGGATATAAAACAATTTTACGTATTTACATTTTTGTCACGTGCCATTTGTTTATATAGAGTTAAAATCGGGTATTATTTTTCGCATTCTTAGTAACATGACGTTACACACCCAAGTACGGTAGTACGAATACACAGCGACGCAACTCTTATACTAGTGCGACCAAATTAGCGAAAAATCAAAAATCACGGGCGCGCCTCAAAATGTTTCTGTTGTCAGACCAGACCCTTCAAGTTATTGTGAGTTTATATTCACGGTGTCGCATTTATTTTCTTTACTTATCTCAAGTAGCGGGTGGTTTCAATAGCTGTCGCCAATGCGTCCACAATCACAATTCTATTTACCCAGAGACGTCAAATGGCTAATTGATTAGTGGACAAACTAACCAGCTGGAAGATCACCATTCTGCCAAGTGACGAGAAAAACTACCAAATAACGACAATATATGGTTTTCACCTCTGACCCAAAGTGCCCATTAACGACAAAATAAAGCGATGACATCTCAGGAGGAAGATCGTTTTTCATCCTCTCCTCGATATCTCTGACAATAGAACCAGTCAACTGAACTGTACGGAGTCACCCACAGGTGTAACCTATAACTTCCAATTAGTTCAACCGACACAGATACTGCTACGTCAGTGCATATAGATTGGGTTTGTAAACTTTTAACAAGAGTTAGACTTTTAAAAATCATTCACATAGGACCACATACATAGTCGCGAATACTACCACACTCACTCACCAACAAGTTTCTTCTGTTACAACACCGGGAAAAAAATGCTTACTTTCGAAATGTACAACATTGTCAGTAGTCGCTGACAGAAAACAATGGTAGCATAGCGTGTACATGTGGAGCTATTAACTTGACTCATAAACTTTCTACAGACTGATATTTTTTTAAATCATTGGCCAAAGTCAACTAATATAATTTAAATCAATTGATCTGAAGCGCAAAATATTATCGTAACTGGCCACAAAAACGATCACATGCATACTGCGAATACTACGACACTCACTCACCAACAAGTTTCTACACTGAGGAGAAAAATATTTACTTTCGAAATGTTTTCTGTAGTCGCTGACAGAAAACAATGGTTGCATAGCGTGTATATATGGGGCCATTAACATCACGGTTCGCCAAGCCGAACCGATCACGAGCGAATTTTATAGAACTTACCTGGCTTGATTGGACTAGTTGCTGGGATGGGAACGTAGAACTAAAGTTCTCTAAAAAATACTCCTTTCTCAGTAAATACAGTAAATTTGGATCGCGGATTGGCCCCGTTGACTGGGTCTGTCACGATGTATGTGGCTAACACTGGTGGTATACGTGGGAGACTCGAGCGGATAAACAACACTTGAAGTAGTCGGGTGTCACTTTTCAACAAACTGAAAACAGGAGATGTCTTATCGAGAAGTTAATAGGGTCCTTCTCTACAGAAAGGCGATACCAAAAGCTGGATAAATGCTGCGAGCGTTCTATGGCATGCACATACTGAATGCATTTTACAGATGCGAAGTCCGTGGCCGAGATGAACTCTATTACGTTGCTATTGGTTCAGGAGTGGCTGTCCCATCTAGAGTCCTTTCTCCCCGAGTGATAATCTACAGACTAAATATAAACACTGAATTTCAAAATACTTGTAGTATAGCATATTTGATGGAAATTTATTCTAGATACATTTGAATACCGAGAGTCAAGATGAATGTATTTGAGACTAATGCTGCACTTAAAGTGGTACTCCCGGTTGCATGAAACAACTAATAGTCCGGTGGACACCGACAGTGTTTGGAACAGCCTAAACTCACTTTATTGCCCAATAATGCTGAAGTGTAGTGGGAAATAGCTGTCCGGAGGCGAGCTTAAGATTTACAGCTCTCGTATTTCAAATATTTGATAGTACTGAAAATTATTACTACTTGGCAGCACTATTGTGGACTGTGTTGACCTCTGTACTGACAATACTGATACTGTATGCAAGGGTACGGCTGTCCTTGGATGCCCTACTACGAAGGGAAATATAAAAAATATGTTTAGTTCTGTCTATGTTGGTGACTCAGCGAGCAAATAAATATACAGTCGCAAATACGTGTCATGTTTAATGGACGTCACTGTATGCGGCATCGTAACCTTGTACACAAAGTACGGTACATTTACGCTACATGCTACGCGTGTGTGTTTTAACAGACCCTGGTAATTCACTAGGCAGATATAAATAATTCAGAAACTTAAACATGTCTAGCATCGAGTCCTCGATTTTCTCTAGTAACTTGAATTTGGTAGTACAGATATACATATTGTTGAGCTTTCCGGATTATCAACTTTATAGAGTACGCAAATTAGCCTTACTGAGCACTGCCATGCCACTAAGTGGTTTTCGTGGCCGACATAGAAAATAAACTCCCGTAACATAAAACTGCTGTAACAAGAAAACTAACATAAACATTACCATTATGACTCCAACTACAAGTACACACTCTGATGGGTATTTCGTTTCATTGAAAAGACAACAAATTTTGTTTCAAATATTGAGACGGTGTAGGAGTGTTTTTTTTATATCATGTTGGCATTGTGTAAATGTGCATCCAATGTATTGGTATCTATTTTGTGCTGAAAAAATTATTGATAAAACACACAATAACCGTACACGTATTTTGCCTGCTTTATTGACCTTCAAAAAACACTCGATTTAATTTGGCATTTTGAAATTATTATATAAACTGCGAAAAAAACAATAAATCAGGAACATTTTATAATATAATAGACAAATTAATACTGTTAACACCAAAATGCTGTTGGTTGTGTTAAGTGAAAAGCGGGCCTTACCGACCACTTACTAAAAGGGTATAAGAGAGGATGATGGGCTGAGCCCCACTTTCATTTACCATATATATCGATGATGTTAAAAGCCACATTGATTTATCACAAAATGACCCACCAAAACTTTGAACTAGTCCCATATCTTGTTTATTATATGCTGATGGCCTAGTATTACTCTCAAAGTCCAAAAAATGGCCTACAAAATGCTATAAACTCAGTGCAAACATATTGTATGTAATAGATGGAAACTCGAAGTAAATGTCTCAAAATCCAAAATCATAATTTTCAATAAATCTGGAAAAATATAAATTTGTAACCGGGAAATGTATATTCGTACACTTAATATCCAGGGTTGAAACTAAACACAACTGGTGAACTTATCAGAGTTCAAAAAGATCTCAGCCACAGAGCAATGAAAGCTTTCTTCAAAATAAAACAATTGCTATACTCTGAAAACAATATTCCAGTCAAAACATACCTAAAATTATTTGATAGTATGGTTAGACTTCTCTTGACCTATATATAGACGAGCGAATTTGTGTCACAAATATAAGACAATTTCAATAGTGGGCTACCTACCAATACCAACGGAGAATTTTTTTAACAAATTTCGCAAATATATATTACAGGTAAACTGGGGTCGGTAACTTAGTGTGTAACTTAGTGCGAATTAGAACAGAATTCCCCTTTATGAAATGTAAAAGTGATCAGTCAAAATATCAATCTCTGTCATCTTTTGCAATAAAAATGAAAACAGTTGTGTGTCTTTAGAATGGGCGAAAATGTTCTAATGCTATAATTCGACTGAGTTCAACTCTGAAAACATCACGCCAGCACAGAATGGTTCTGTTTAAAGAATTGTTTTAAAGATTCGTGAAACTTTGGCACAAACATGCAATCTCGAAAAGCGGGGGCGACCCAGTATTTATGATTTGGGGCGGGCTTTAAAACACAAATAGTGCGGACCCTTAATTTCAGCAGTCAAGGCGATGATTGGCAGCTTTATTTCGGAGTTTAGATTTTCAGTCGATCGTCTAAGTTACGATCTAATAGCAGAGAAAAATATAGAGCCGATGAGGTTACACATTCAGTTTCAACTTTCCATTATATATATTTGTTTTGCTGACTAAATTTATTTAATGGTAGCTATCCTAGTATTGATAGCACGTCGTCCAATGATCTACTTCAACTGATAGTTAAATAATGATTGCAATAAATTGTTTGGTAGTAGTAGACATCATGCTGCAATATCCAAATTGTTTAAAGCGGGAGGGTCGTCACCTGTGCACGCGCGTGAATTGAGACCCACGCGACGATAACAACACACGTTAAAAACGCAAAGGCTCATGGATAGACGCTACTGTCGTAACCACTGCCCTGTTCTCTTAATTTTAATAAAGAGTTAATATATTTTCCAATCCAAACTTTTTTTATTGGACAATGGAATAACACTGACACGTTTCCAAATGACGTCATTACACACTGTGCTCGTTGATTGTCTGGTTGAATTCTACTGCCATTGAAATGTTTAAATGAAAGCGGAGGTGTCGTAACCTGCGCGAGCGCGGGAATTGAGTTCTAAGCGACGATAAAAAGGTACCAGTAAGCTAAAACGTAAAGGCTCATGGGTAGACACTTGTTTGTAAACAGCGACATGCTCTAACCGTCTGCCACACAGGCAGGTGACGACTGCAGATGACGCTTTGAATATTTATGAAACAAAAATACGAAATTGAATGGGTTTGTGGGCGCGATATTATTAAAATGCAGAGTTCTGTTCTAAATATGACACTCCTTATAGCCAAGAAATAGGATGTCGAGTTCTACACCAAACTAGTGACATAGTATACTCGATTTCCAGTCTCTGTCTCTTCGGTATTTGTTATACAAAGTAACACAAGGGTCTCACCGGGCGTCGGTGACTGAATCACAAGTAGTGCAGCGACAACAGACTGTGCCTGTGCCACTTTTTTTCCTGTTCCATTCTTCTCAACACTTAGGATGGTCACGGTCTCACTAAACTTGGCGCTTGTGACGAGTGTGGGAGGGACGGGTAGAGGCACAAATATACGGGTATGTCCAAAAAGTAGATTTCCGAAAAAGTGTATTTTACAAGAAATATTCATAGTGAAGAGGTATTGATAATTGATTTGTATGGTGTTGTACCGATTCAATTAAATCAAAATCCGAAAGTAATAAAAACCATATGCTAATCCTGTAATTTATTGTTGTCACCACCTTGTCAGCCGTCCCCCGGTCATGCAACCCTGCCAGAATAACATCCTCCTACACGTAGAATACGGGAATTAAATAGACCAACCTCAGGCTACACAGATTTACCACCGATAGGCATTCATTTAAAAACAGCATATTTGCACGTGTATGTCTGTAAATGGAAGAGGGGTAGAGTGGCAATTAATAACACCAAACAGCTTTCGTGTCTTAGCTGGCTTTCCTGTATGCGTCCCGCAGGCGTCTCTTGTATCCTGTAGCGCCCGGTGAAAGTGTTTGTGTTAAGTAACCTTACAATGTGAACATACTTACAGGTTTCTTTAAAAAGTAAACATTGAACAACTGAGACCAATACGAATTGTGATAAACTCCTACCGGGTTAAGATCTATTATTACTCTATGATTATACAAGATCACGTACTTGTGGTGAGTGAGGTGACAGGCTGGCGCCTAATGCTGGGTTTACATGCAGCGTTAAACAATATACCGGATTCCACATACCCCCCCCCCCGGAACATATTAAATGCAGAACACTTATAGCTGCATCTTGCCGGCGATGCGAGTACTGCATGTTATTTATTTTCGAGTGGCTCAAAACATGCACCTGATACGAACGTTTTGCTACACACACAAATAATTATGTACACTATTTCTATCCATTTGCGTAAACTTGTTAATTTTAACTATAAGTAATTTAATTATGCAAGCATGTACTCGTACGGTTGCAACTGATTCGAGAAAAAAGTTGAAATGCAACGGGAATATGCAATTTGGTATGCAAATTAGCTAATATGCACACATTAAAAACCAGGTTTCAATCCTGGTGAGCAAATAAGTACTGTTAGCAGGAATGTCAGTGTGCTTAATGGTGGAGAAATCAGTTGATTATTAAATATGGGTATACTGAGATGCCCATCGTTTTGAGTTGAGCTACCACCGTCTTACACGTAGGTATTCGTTCTTGGGGTCCAATATTTCATGTACCCTCTGATAGCTCATGCAGTAACCCTCTTGTATGACTTCATGTAGAGGAGTTCAAGGGTGACAAATCTACTATTGTCTTGGCTTCACTGAATCTTTTGGTTCTAGAAACATGTAGAAACCAAGTTACATGGGCAGGGGAATATCACCCCTTTGGCTAGAAAAAAATGATCCCCTTTGCATTCACCAAGTACTAGGAAAATGTACAAGATCTTAAGAAGGCCTGCATGGAATCCGAGCCAAGGGTGAAGAACCCTGGGACAGATTTTATGCAGATCCATGCCAGAACCTACAAAAGCCATCCTGTACTTGACAATTGAGCAATTTACCGGTGTGAAACATCTCAAACTTCGATAAAAAGGCAAATGCAGGCAAAGTTACACAGCTCCCTACCAGCTAAATTAATGGCACACTATTGATAAGGTTAGCTAAACTGACTAGGAGCTCCCAAATTTCCAGCCTACGTCATGTGCCAGAAACTGAAGATTTTTCAGGTAATACCCACAATCCCCAGAGGTGCTGTGCACCTAGTTGTTGCACCAATATTCCGGGGGTCAACTGGCTGGCATCAGTTAGACGAACTTTTATCTTGAACAAATAGTGGGAGTAATTGTAAACACCATTATTATGCAACACAGGGGAGCCAATAAATGGCCAACAATATTGAGCCATTTTCTTTATAACAGAATGAAGAACCACATCACTAAACTGATGAATGAAGAACTTTAGGCAGCAAGAAAATTAGTGCATACCTGAAAATGAAGCATCATTATTAGATCTCTCTAAATGATCCAGTATACAATAAACAATAAACACAGTTTTGAGTTTGTGAGCCCTGCTATTAGAGATGTGCTTCTGATAGAGGAAACACTTTATTCTTGAAGAGCCAATCATTCTAATTAATAACTCAAACTTTCACACTCCTGAAAGACATGCAAGTGCTCTCTTACAACCATAACAAGGTATTTTGATTATGAATAATCTGATTTATTTCAAATTTGTGTTTCCATAAAAAGTGATTTTTTTGCACAAGTGAGAGATTAATTTATCATAATGTTCATTTCATTAAAAGGTGGCAGTCACCATAGGGACCTGATGATGAATATTCAAAAATGTTCCAAGTAAACCAACAATGGTTTTATGGGACCCACATCTGCTGCATTGCCATGACTACCACCATTTAACATCATAACATATAAACGCCAATATTAAAATGTCTGTATGTAAATAAGATGAACTACTCTATATTCTACAGTAGTGCTTTTTCTTCAGTTTGTTTGTTGATGTCTTACAGGTTTCCTGTCAGGTGTCTAGCCTGGTCTTCAAGTAACATCCGGTAATCTTATTCCAGGAACGCAACAAGAATGAGTAATGCCTCAAATGTTGTAACCAGAGATACTTCCATTCTACTGTCTGAATGCAATGTATGAAGTTACTGTACACCAATGATGGTTACATTTGTCGAGCTGGTAAAAATTGAAAAAACTTGCATGCCGAGTGGTCTGGTAACATTTTTTCATGGTCTGCTTCAATAACATTTTTACTGAATACTACTATTATTGGTATAAGGCCATTCTCGCCTCTGATGACTGATACAAACAATGCAAAAACATAAAATAGAAACTTTAAAATTACACATTATCTGCAAAGTGTTTGTTGCAATTATTTCAAAAGTATTTTAAAATAATATTTAACACATGCTGGTAGCTTTTTAGCAGGGCTTGTAAAATTGGAAAGTTACACTGCTATATATATGTGATAAACATTATTCAATTTTTTCCACATTTCACACAGACTATTGTTTTTAAAATGTATATTTTAATCTACCAGTATTTACATGGATTGGAACTGTAGTAACTAATATATGAAAACATACAACCCACGATATTCGAACCTTAACCAACCATCTAAATAGGCTAGTGACAAATTAAGTCAAACTAGAACAAGCAATTAATTTGAAATTTTACTTCTTGAAAGGAAGACTTTTATTTCACATAGAAAACCCCCACAAAGTAATGTAAAGATCATCAACAAATTAAAATTAACGGCTCCCCTGGGAATAAGTAAAGGACACTATGTTCATGCGCGACTTCATTGTGTGCGTAATAAATCATGTGAAGAATATAGATTAAACACGACCTGTTTGTAAAGGTATAGCACAATAGGAGATTGTTTTGTACTTGATAAAATAGTGACAGTGAACTCTGAATAAAATCAAATCAACATAGAATCATGAGATACAGGTTTGCAACTGTTGTGATGTGCAAGATTCCACCTGAAGTCGCAGAATTATGAGATGATTACATAATATTCCTAGACAGACACACATTGCTAGAAATCAGTGAAAAGAGTGCTTAGTATTCAGGTCTCAGGGAGTTTTATGTTTGTTGTGCCTTGTGTATTCCCAGAATGTGTATTTTAAAAATTGTACATGTTTTTTTCAGTTTTGCAGGTATTAGAAAAGCGCTCAGAAGATTGCAATACAAATGTAAAGTATACAATATACCACACTTAAAGATTACACATTTGCAAACCTTGAACTGTTATTCAAGATAAGAAAATTATTACAACATGCTCAACTGACACAGGGTTCATGACCTCTGTGGGGAGGGGGGGGGGGCATGCAAGCACCAGGATGTATGACATCTGGGGGGGGGGGTCCATAAAGGATGTAATTTCATGCTATAATCCAGTCTTAAGGCAAATAAAATAAGGGTTAAAAAAAACATACTTATTATTTGATACTTGAAAATTGCAATATTTCCAAACTGTAAATGAATAAGTTCAAGTGTACCATTGATATTCAATGTTTGTAACTCATCTCTGTAGCCGTATGATAAAGGTACATAATTTTTTTTCAAACTTTAAGATATAAGAACATTTTTTATTTTAGTTACTGGGCACGTCTATATGGTGGCTCTCAGTCAAAATTGATATCTATGAGAGACAAACACGAACAAGCTCAAGAGCTTGAGAGTACACAATTTGAAGAAATAAAATCAACATTTTCTCTTACTACCAAGCTAAAATAATCCTAGATGTGAAAATATTCCAGTCTCTCTGTGTGTAATACCGAGTACAGACCTTGTCGACATCAAACGGCAGCTTTATACAGTCCCCATTTATTCAAAACTGCAAAGAAATATAAAGATACATGCATAAATATATTACATATTGTATATGTACTGAAAGATAAGTACTACAAATGTGATGTAAAAGTGTTAGCTATTTGAAAAATTGTCAATTTACCCAAAGCACCAGTGTTTTAATTAAGGATCCTTAACAACACAAAAACCACATATCTGGATATCTTGATTTGATAACTAAATGAAAAAATATGCATATATGTGACATAATGCCTGGAATAGCATTTTTTTAAACAAGCAGCCTGTCGGCTGAGATAGCTCCACTGTTAGCAATGCACATGGCAATTAAAGAACAGAAGATATCATTAGAAAATGAACAAATCTGAGAGAGGTCCACATGTAGTACCTATATGTATAATATATCAAAGCAATTGGACTTGCGGTTTTCAACAAGAAGTCGAAAATATCACTTTTTACCAAAAATTACAAAAATATTCATCATAATTAGAGAAAAAAAATATCATCATGAAATGAACAAATCTGAGAGAGGTCCACATGTAGTACACCTATATATATAATATCAAAGCAATTGAACTTTTGGTTTTTAACAAGAAGTCGAAAATATCACTTTTTACCAAATATGACAAAAATATTCACCAAAATTAGAGAATTTAAGATATCATCACGAAATGAACAAATCTGAGAAAGGTCCACATGTAGTATCTGTATATGCAATATCAAAACAATTGGACTTACGGTTTTCAACAAGAAGTCGAAAATATCACTTTTTACTAAAAATTACAAAAATATTCACCAAAATTAGAGAATTAAAAATATCATCATGAAATGAACAAATCTGAGAGAGGTCCACATGTAGTACCTATATATATAATATCAAAGCAATTGGACTTTTGGTTTTTAACAAGAAGTTGAAAATATCACTTTTTACCAAATATGACAAAAATATTCACCAAAATTAGAGAATTTAAGATATCATCACGAAATGAACAAATCTGAGAAAGGTCCATTTGTAGTATCTGTATATGCAATATCAAAACAATTGGACTTACGGTTTTCAACAAGAAGTCGAAAATATCACTTTTTACTAAAAATTACAAAAATATTCACCAAAATTAGAGAATTGAAGATATCATCATGAAATGAACAAATCTAAGAGAGATCTACCCCAGGTACATACACACCAAGTATCAAAGCATTCAGGCTTGTAGTTTTCAAGAAGAAGTCGAAAAGATAAAACATTGACACGGACGACGACGGACAATCACTCATATGATAAGCTCCGCTCTACAAAGTCGACAGCGGAGCTAACAAAGGCCCCATAATGTTGAAAATCCATTCATACATGACTGAGATCCGGTTCCAGAATGGCAGAAATACTAGATTTTGATGAATTTTTAGCATAAAAATGGCCACCATTTGACATTTTGAATCAGATAATGGAATTGCATATGTCAATCTTTGATGTAAAGTATTTATCAAGTTTGAATGTGATGGGACCAGGCATACATGTATAAGAGATACTGGTGGAGACGCATTAACACGCGCATTGAGGTCAATGCGCATTTCCCCCATTTTCGGACAAACAAGGACTAATGATTCAACCTTTATATAAAGACGACCTTTCTATGAAGACAATTTTATTAAAGTGTGTTGGGTGGTTGCTATACACAACTGCATTACCAAAAACATATCTTGATCAAAGAATGACCTTTGTTCAAAGTAAACTCTTAAGTACTCATTCAGTTACAGGAACAAGAGCTACTTTTTTTGACCTTTAATCAAGTCAAAATTACCTTAAGTTTGTATTACTAAATGAGTAAATATTACATGATATGTCATGTTAAAAAAATCTGAAGAACATAAAAAAAATGTTGATGCTCATTTTCTACAATTACACTCAGCGCAGTTGAACGATACAAAGTGTGGCAATGAATGCTTGGCATCCATTAGTGTAAACCTATTTAGCCACCTTTAATAAAAGTGTTAGTTTTGTCTTGACCTTGTGACAAATATCAGAGACATACTTGTTGAATCTGAGCATTATAAAAATTCCAGATGGTAACACCAACATAACACATTGATTTATCAGAGTATATTCCACAATTTAAAAATACTCATTTTATGAAATTGACTGCCAAGGATGGTACACTGCATGTAATAAACAGTAAATTAGTGTAGATAGTCCATGGGTAGATTTCAAAATGGACCATCAAAGTGATTACCACAGGACTATTAGTGAACTATGTACACTGTAGTGTAATAGAAGACATGCATAGATGGTGAGTTATGGGTGCTAGTGTAAATATTGACATCTCAATGCACTAATCATAGATACTGCCATTCCAAGGACAATGAGAAACAAACTCGGCCAAATAAAATCATGCACTTAACAGTGTATGCCAGAAGGAGAAATATTCATTGCGTTTAATTTCACCTTATTCACTGGTTTGTGAAGGAAACAATACATACAATGGTTAACTTTGCACAATCATTGGATTTTAATTTAGTTATGCACTGATCATTGCAAGTTATAACAGGCCATTACTAAAGCTTCTGAGCCACGTTATCATGAAACTATAAATGGGTAGTATGGTTTCTTTATTTCAATTACATGCCTAAATGTTGAATAATTAAATATATGCATGACCATGAATGTTTTTTAATCACATCAATGATGGTTGAGCATGAAAAAATTATGTTCGTTTCATGGATGATTTTCCAAATAAAAAGGATTCAAATTCCTTAAAAATCAAGTTTGTTGTTTTATCTGTCCTAATGTGGGAAAACAATGAATACTCTTGATTCACATACAATTTTGTTCATCTGTACTGGTTTGATAAAGTGAACTGAGTACAGTAACTATAAGAATTGTTGGTATTTTCATATGATAACTGGGTTCAATGTGATATCGATTGACCAATGAGAATGCACCATTTCAATGTACGGTAGTTATAAAACCTAGATATACATTTTTATTAAGGACCTAAAAGTTGATAACTGGTGAAAGGTTTTAAAACGTACCGGTAATTGTACACCACCAAGCCACACACTGCAATGATAAGCTCTCATTGTGTGGCCCTAGCAGCTCCCAGCAAGTCAAAATAAACTACCAGCCTTAAATACCCTCATACAGTATATATATATATACATGTATATATATATATATACATGTATATATAGTCTGGTCAGCCAAACTTGAACTTTTTACTATGCTGTGTATATATTCAATAGATTCCTGTGGGGGCCGTGAATAGTCCAATTGTGAGTAACGCAGATCTGTTACTTTCTCACAACAAGCATTAAAATCAAAACCTTAAATCATTCAGGTTATATCTAAACATAGCTGAAACTCAATCACACAGCGCAATCGGGCGCAACAATAACACCGAATTCACGCCTCAATTACTCACATTTTTCAAGAATTCCTCAGCGCATATACGGGCTCTGGAATTTACAGACAGCTTCATCTCGCTGATTTCTTTGTCTATTTCTTCCATAAAATGAATAACAAAGTCTACTAGTTTGTGTTTGTACATCTGTTCTGTGTGGAAGTTTGTAATCAAGAAGCTGATGTCGTAGCCCTGGAGGAAAGAAAAGGTAAACATTGCCAATTCTTGTCACTAGAGGGCAGTTTGTGTGATGCAAGTCAGCTGTTTAATGTTGGCAATCCATATACACAATCTTTAAAATGCTTCAAGTCACTTGAGTGAGAGAAAATAGTGAGGTGCATAAATTATAGCACATGAATTGTAATTCTTTATTGTGGGACATCCCAGGTGGCTTTTTTTGTAGCTGCGAAATTCTTTTTTTAATAAAAAATACCTTTCAAATGAGCATTTGCTTTACATTGTAGTTCAAAGTCTTGAAAAACAACCCTGAATTTACAAATATACAACATTTACCTCAACAGGTTTTCTTCTCAAAATAAAAAAGTTTTCCGCCCTCATCATCATGAATCTCATAAATTTATGGCATAAAATCTTCTCCAGCTCATCAGCCTAGATAAGAAAATATGAAAAAAAAAACAATGCTATTGTGATGCTCCTGTAGCCAGAAGACACAATATATTAATGAGTGCAAGAAATCATGATGATGTAATCCGAACATTACCAATATTGGGCCATTCCAATTTATATCTGCACCCCCCCCCCCCCCTGTTGATGAGCTTGTGTGTTTAC